AGAGAAATGCAGAAATTTCAATATCAGCATAAACCCATCTCTAGGCATGCACTTCCTCACAACCGGTGTTGACACTAGTTCGTTTGTTGACCAGTAGTGTAAAATATTATCTAAGTCTGCATGGCCCATCAGCATAATTACTCCCGGAAATTTCTTTATTTCACCGGGATTTGTTGGCACCCAACTTACCTGATGCTTTCTTTTGCCTGATGATTCTGGTCTTGCATCCATTATTTGTTCAGCATATCTATTTGTTTCATCAGATAATATTTTGAACAATTTATCACTAAAGAAAAGTTCAAAGAATTCAACTTCTCCTTTCAAATCTTTACGTTTTTCATTTAGCTCAACGTTTCCAGTAAACGGTAAAACATTTTTTACTTTAGCGTCAAATTATGGTTCTTTCCATTGAAATACCCTATCCACTGCTATTAAATAGGAATTTACAGAATTTGACTGACAATTATCCTTAAATTCATCCTCACTATCAATTTCCTCCACTTCACTCTTTTCATCTCCCTCCTCACACTCAGATTCTGAATCAGCGTACATTTCATCATCGAAATCATTCATTATTTTATCAATTTCTTCTTGAGTGAGTGGTCTCCCCCATCTACGTGGCATCTTAAAAGATGCAAAAAATTCTTTTAATGTAAAAAGAATAAAAAAATACAAAACAAAAGTAACAAATTAAAAAATAAAACGTAAATAAAAATTTAATTAAAACATTAGCAAAAGGTCAAAAAAAATTAACAAAAACGTAAACAAGAAATAAACGTAACTGACAAAGAAATTAATTGAAAAAAATAAACTAGGATTCGCTACATATAGCTGAAAAGATCACGAATGAAATGAAACTAGTACTTTCAAAGGGAATTAAGGAAATTCTCATACCTTGAAAATCGAAAGCTGATAATAAAAAAGAAAAATATTCAGCCAATTTGAATCGAAAGTGAGCACACGTGAAGTTTTTTTTCAACAATAGGAGCAAATTATCTTGAAGAAATGACAGGTGTGATGGAGGTCAAATAGAAAAGGGGGAAGAGAACCACCGGTACAACTGCTGATCCAGCGCCTCAATAAGAGAAGTTTTTTCTACCGGTACATATGCTGTACAGGTCGCAAGCAAAGGGTTAAATTCTATACAGCTTGCGCAGAACATGGACCATGCCCTAGTTATTCAAAATATGATCAATGGAGTAATCATGGGAGAAGCAAGTTTCAACTCAACCTTTCACCTAAATGTACAATAATTTATGCAAGATGCTCAGTAGTTTATGATTGGTAGATGACAACGAATCTCGACGTTTAAAGGCAGAAACTTGACCCAAATAATTATCTTGGTTATATGTAGCAAATAGTACGTTCTGTTAACTTTTCAGCAAAATTATTTGTAATTTTATTCATAATTGTCAAATAAATGTTTATTTCTGCAAGAACTGTATATTTTCCTTCGTTCAACTGCTGCATCAATTATCCTGAAATTTTATTGACTGTTGGGAAAAAAGGCCCATACCCAACAACAGAAGTTGGTTATTTCTGCGATAACTTTGCAATACCTTTGCTGCATTTTGTTCATTCAGTTAATAAAGTTTCACTGTAAGAGACATGCTAGTCAAGTGAAATGACAAAAAAGCAAGATGCAACAATCAAAGCAGAGTATCGTTTTCTTAAGCGTTTGGGTCAGTGACGTCAGCTAAGAATAGGTCGTATGTCAGGCCTGTTCGACTGGTTTAAAGAGCATGTTTACTAGAACTAACTAGTAGTGTGGACAAATCAAAAATTGATGAAACACAAAAATGTTCTCTTTACTGCTCTATTCTTATTTTATTTACTAAAAAAATTTCACTCCTTTTATCTCTGTCTTGGTTCACCATTTCTTAAGGTGTTTCACTGGGATCACGTAATAAAAAGTGTTGCCATTTGAAAATTTTGTCTTTGTAACTGTAACCATGAGAACTGTGCATTTGTTTGTGGCATAAATCTTGAGCAAATATAATACCCATATACAGAGTTTTATTAATCTTACTTAAACGGCAAGTTCTCCAAAATGTTTGCAAAGTTATTATATATATAAACACAGAGTTAAATTCAATTTCTGTTAACACCTAATTTAATGATATTACTGCATGTAAGGAGGGAAATTTAAAAAAAAAAATCGTTGATTCAGTGTTAAAAAAAACTTTATAAAATGTTGTTATGACCATAACTTAGATTTAATGAGCAATTCTTAATAACCTTATTGAAAATTATTTTTTCAATAATTTGTTGTCAGAATAAGTCGGGGGCTGTCTAGGTTTCTCTGAGAAGTACCTATTTTGTGAAAGTTTAGACATAATTTGCAAAAATTAAAAATATTAAAAAATCAACACAAAAAAATTATAAAAATATGGATTTATTGTTTCTTACGGGATAGAAAAATAAAATTTCAAGAAAAAGTATCTAAAGTTTAATTTGTGAAGGTACGGTTAGTTAGTGCTAAACGGTAGTAAATTTGGCCTAGACAGATCCCTGAAAGTGCTTGCGGAATTTTCATTTCCTTTGAAAAGATTCAAAAACACTACTCAGTTCAATTGTTCAAAAAATGTATGAAGAGACATAATGATATCTATCTTGATATGAATTACACAGCCAGTTGATTTGTAATGGTTGAAAAAAATTATAAGGAGTCATTATGGAAAAACAGAAGATGTTGCTATGCAAACCTTTGGATAGAGTCTCTTCTTTTGCTCAAATGTCTGCCTAGAAGTTCTAGATTAAATGTTTATAAAATGCAGAATCCGACTGATGAGGAAGAAAAGGTATTCCATTACAATACATAAACAAAACACGTGGAGTTTCTTGAAAAATTCCAAAATTTTTTTGGGAACTAAATTAGTTCGGTGATATTTTATTTCACAAAGATCTATTGACATTTCAGGACAATTTTGGCCACTGGAGCCATTTTAGGAAGATGTTTTAGATTGTTACAAGGTTCATTTTTTACCCTAAAAAATGAAATTCATGTTTCCTAACTTTCATGATTTCACTTGTGGCTGCAAAATGTATGGGTTGACATTGATTGAATAATGTGAATTTGAATGATTTTGACCACCATGATATACAAATAATTCAGTCATATAAATAGGGGTGTTTTCATTGCGGAAAACAATTGTTATTTCATTACCATTGGAAAAAAAAACACTTTTGCACAAATATTAAAGGTGTACAGCCATTGAAACTAATTTATAGCAATATATTAGGGATCAAAGGAATCAAGAAAAAAATGTTAAAAGTCAGTCTGATGCAAAGATAAAATTCTGTAATGTAAAAGTAGAAAAGCAGCTGACTGTCATGCTGAAATATGCATAACATATTTTCTGATATCTAAGCTGCTATTGATTGGTTGAACAATGGTAAGTCTTCTAACAAAACCAGGCATGTAAATCTTAAATTTCATTTTTGAGAGATAATGATTGAAGATAAAACATTAAAAACTGTTTATAACAATACTAATGATAACATTTCAGATTTCTTAACTAAAGTTTAATTTCAAATTATTTTGAGAGAATTAATATTTTTATATGTATTTTTACTTGTATCAAAGAATGAAATTCTTCTTGCAAGGGGAGATTGTTGTCATTCCCAGGGAAGGATAGCTACAAAGTCTTTTTCTTCTTAATACCGCCAGGTGGCATTCTTTTAAAATTAGTATGCATTTTTCTGCTTAATGTCAATAAACTTTTACTTTTTGTCTGAATCTCAATCTTCATAGACCACAATAACAATTTGCACATTTGAGCAAAATTTTGCAACTTGACTTTCAGAAAACGATAAAATATGTTTAAATTGAGAAGCAATTTAAAAAAATATTTTTGTCACTATGTATTACATTATCAGGGGAAAATTTAAGAACTAGTTTTTAAATAAATAGAACATTCATGCCCACACCACCATACATGCAGTACTTCTTTCTCTGTTTTTTAGGAAAAATTTAAGGTACTGTTAAAACAAACTATTGAGTTTTATAGAAAAAACAAAAAAGGTAAGTAGTTTTCATTTTAATTATTGTCCATATTATTCCAATAATTATTGAAAGAAATTAAAATTATAACAAGCTGTTTGTACCCTGGAAAAAAGAAAAAATTGGTAAAATAAAGATTTCATTTTTGCATTATTTTTGGGAAAAATATCCCAGTTTATCAAGAACAATTAAAAGTTATTACATATATACAGGACTGTTTCTCATCCAGAAGAAAGTAAATTATGGTGAAAAGTTTATAATTAAAAGGAAAAACTTCTAAAATCCCTTTTAAAAAATTAGGGCTTTAATAGATTTCCCTAGTAAATATATATGCTATAACTATTATTAAAAAAGTTTTGGTAATGAAGCATATTTTATTTATTTTGAAAACCAAATGCTGAACTCTTTTATAGAGTACAAACAGGCCTGAATATTTTAGAATACTAATTTTCTTTACAAATAATGCAATTTTAGTGATAGCCAACACCACACAGCAGTTGTTTCATGAATTTGTGTTGATGATGTCAGTAAACAACTACAGCACTTGTAAATGCTGGGAAATATAGATCAACATCCATAGCAGCGTTTTTCACCAGATTGATCTGTATCATTTTGAAAATATAGTACAATAAGAGTCAAAGTCGGAAATTTTTACATATATTGACGTCGAAATCGGCGATTTCATGAAATTGATCGACATTGTGGGCCACTTGAGTAGTAGATTGCAATTCAGAGTCTGTTTGCTAAAAAGCAGAAGTAATTTTAATAGAATTGAGCAATTAGGTTTCATCCTGCTAGCTGGTCTTACCCCACACTCCCTCAAATAAAAAAAATTAAAGAATTGAAAAAAATACTGCAATATATAAGTAAAATATGCAAAATGCAGCAATTCTCAAAAATTGTTTTATGTTTTTTTTTTAGTCTCTAACTATATATAAGTCCCACTGTATTAAAAAATGGACGTAAGAAATAATTCAGTTCCCAAAATAAAACTTACCTACTTTCGGAGTAAAAATTGGTTTGAAGATACTTGGACCATATGGCTTAAAAGAACTTTTAAAGCATCGATCTCTGCTGCTTTGATTACATAGAATATCTTCCCAATAAAATACTTGATCTAAAATATTGTTCCACTGGCATTGGGTTCTGTGATACATGTGAATTGCTCGTATTATCTATAAGTACAATTTTAATAAATTAAAAGCTTTAGAAAATATCAAACACTATTAAGATTTTATTTTGAACTTAAGCAGCAACTAAAAAGATATTATAATAAACTATTTTCATATTTGAAACTACAATGAAGTTTAGATTTCTGAAAGCAAAATTATTAAACTCAAGATTAATCAAATGTTTGCATAGTATTCAAATATTTCAATAACTGTATGGTCTTAAACTAAAAAAAAAAAAAAATGATTGAATTGGATACTAATAAATGTTTATGAAATAAAATCTGGAAAATGTGAGTGAAAATGAAAAAAATCAATAAATATGAACTCTCAATGCATTAAAAATATGGGTAAAAATTATAAAAATTTTTCATCACTACTTTCTCAATTTTCAATTTTACTTTGGTTCTATACTTTAATGAAATAAATGATAATATAAGTGATGAATTTGTGTTAAAGATGAATGATAAGGATAAATTTAAAAAAAAAATTAAAAAAAGGATTACGCAGATGAAAAGCATTAAGAGGAAGAGTATTTTGACTCCTCCAATCAATTTAATCAATTATCTTCTCCAATCAATTTAATTTAATTTAATATTTAACTTCCTCAATAGCATTTCCCAACGAAAAAAAAAGCAAGATTAAATAATGTTGATGATAATTTCACAAAAGCTACTTTCCAAAAAATAAGAGTTAAATTTTTATGAAGTTAATTAAAATTATCAAGCAGTGATTACTGAACCATTTATTAAGAATACAGATCATATTAACTTGATAAAAATATAATGTAAATTGATTCATATTAGTTAATAATTCAAAGTATATCAAAAGTATATAGAAGTATATCAAAAATATATAGAAGTATATCTCTCAACATTATTCAAAGTTGTATTTTTAATTGGATTTAATTTTAACAAAATGACAAAGTTTAGATATTTAGTTATTGAGATGTTTGTCACATTTTCTACGTACTGAGTGTAAAAAAAATTATGAATTCAGCCAAGTTGGTTATGAGTACTTAAAGATATTGCAAAATTCATTTTCCAGGAAATACAAGAATTCATCACATCAGCTTTTGTTCCTAAGAGATGGTATCACAAACTAATCAATGTTTCATTAAATTAAAATGTATTAGTAAATGTATTAGTGACAAACTGAAAATAAAGTTATTATGAAAAATAAGGACACTAGAAACTTACAGGGGAAGCAAATCTGAAATTTGGAGTAATTATTCTTTTGATTCACCTACTTATAGATGATGTTATGCAGCCTATTGTTGAATAAATTACCTTAATATTTATAAAAAAATAATTAAAAATGAGAAAAAGGATATCACTTCTAAGGCAGAATGCTTTAGAATCCTTTTTTGTGTTACCTATTTAAACTTTTATTTTAGAATAGAATATGATAATTAATAGACTCTAGAAATCATGCATTTTTATTAAGATAAAATATTTGAACCTGAATTGTTGTTGTTTCCTTTCAGATTCATTTGAATCTGCATTATTTCTTAAGCATTCCATCCTTAGTTTTTTCACCCTTCACAGCTTTATATACCTCTCTCCTTTATTAATCTTTTTTCCTTAGAGATGTATTATTTTTCTTTTTTTATATCATGCCAAGGGGTAAACATGCTCACTTTTAGTTTTCTTCTTATCCTTTGGAAATAAAACCAAATGGATATTTCCCCCTTTGTACAGTTTTCTTTGATAATAATCAAATCAATTTTGTGAGAATGGATAATCACTCTACTGTAAGCTCCTTATATCAAAGCAGGAGAAAAACATCGTGACTGGAAATTCTCCTGCTGACAACACCTGCAAAGTGATTAAGTTGCTACGGAATAAAATCAAAAATTGTTTCCATAAAAGCAACAAATTATTTAAAAATATGTGTTATCATTTTATTTACCATTTTGTTTTTAAATGTATATTATTTTATTTTATTACTCATTTATATTACAGAAAAATATGTTTGCATATAGTCGGTGCGAATAATAGGCCAAAGACTTTTTCATTTCTGAAAATAAGAGGTGTGGATCAGGGCTTGCTGTGGGTGTAATTAGTGAAAATTGAAATAATAATCTTTCAAATTAATATATAGTAATTTGTCAATATATAGTAATTTCAAATTAATATAGTATAATAATTCAAGACAAGCAATTAATTTGTTATTAGTTTCAATAATTTTTAAATGGAAAATATAGAACTTAACAATTTTGTGCAAAAGTAATTTAATGGGTATGATTTATCCCTCCAAAATCTTGAGCTCCTTGACTAAATAATTTAGATAAATTATTTTTAAATCAAATGAAAGAAGTAAATTAAATATTTTGAAACATTATAGTCCCATCTTAAGATATTTATTAATATATTTGGTAAAAATACTAAATAAATAAATGATTTATAATTTAAAAACATTTAATTGTATGAATTTTGATAAAATTCATAAAATGCCTCTAATCTATAGCCTGATTTAGAAAACGATAAAATATG